TATAATGTTATAAAGTCTATCTCAGTTTGCAGAGGTAAAATATATATTTTTACTAGCAACCAAGGTAATAAAAAGTACACAAATCTTTTTACTATTATTTCATTGTGGGTTTCATTTTCCATTTTTAAATCTTCTTACTTAAATTGAAAAAAAATACGATTAGGTTGCAATATAATACGTTTTTAAAAATTTGCCAACAAAAACACTGACTCTGTAAAATGAGTACTAATTTCAACCACGTTAAGGTTCACATTTGTATTACAAATTGAATTAAGTCCACATCTTGGATTTCTTACAAATACTCTTCCAATACTGCTTCTAAATTCTTTAATTGCAAGAAGGACTCTACAGTTCTTGAACGTTGACCAAATCCCCTTACGTGTTCATGTTTTCCTTCTCTTTCCGACCTTCAGCTTAAGTGTTCCTGCTAGGCACGTCATTATGTTGAAATGATCTAAGTTAACAAAGAGAAACTTATATCATTCAATTTAAAGCATCCAAGTTTTATAGAACCCTTAATCTCAATTGACAGCAAAATTCTAAATGTATTATAAATTCTGTCCAGGAACATACCACACCATGGGTTTACAATGGAGAAAAGACGGGATACGGTTAAAATTCTACCATGTCTCTTTGTTTCATCAATAAAATATTCACAACAGTGAAAGATGAAAAAGATACTTCAGCAAACACTGTGCAACAATGTATTGAAAACGTAGTTCTGATTAGATATGGATACTAAAATCTCCATGAGCTTTAAAAGATTTGAAAACTAAAAAAATGCCAAAAGCAATGGCATCAAAACGTATAACTCTTCAACAACCATTCCACTCGATCGCAGAAATCGTGATTCAGAGGTATCTGGTTTGATATTAATTCTCGATACCGCATCATACCTTAGACGTTAGCATAAGTAGTGACTGTTCCTTTCACCAAGAGCCCAGCAACAGAAGTGAAAGTCAAGTATCTTTAGGATGAGTCCATAAAAACCAATGTGAATTTGAAATAGTTAAAAAATATTTTAGCATGACAACTGTTAACTAGTAACTGGAACCCCCACCCCCACCCCCCAAAAATGTACCACTACAGAAATATGTTTTTTTTAATATATTAAGACTATTATTGAAATCATTTGTTTATATTTTGAATTCAATTGACTTGAATTAATATCTGTGCTATGAGTATGTTTTTAACACTCATCACTTGAGTATGATGTATAAGGAATACTGACTACCTGCCAAGTCTATTAAACCATAGATCAGAGAAAATATTTGTTTTCATATATTCATAGGTCGTTGAAAATTATTTATAAAATTAAAACTTCAAAACAGTCACTACTTCAATTCACCATTGTCATGGATTATCCGCGAGTTTATGTAAGATTAACTTTGTTGTGACGTCATAATACTTTACGTTATGTTTCTATAGATAATAACAAGTCTCAAATAAACCACTATACGATTAAGACGTCTTTCATTTCATTCCACAACATTTTGGTGCCGTGACCGACGGAATTCTACGTAGTACATACAATGGAAGGAAGACTAAAAGCTATACGAGCCGGCAACAGATCAACAGTTACAAAGCTATTTGGACGGTTTTTGGACTTGAAGGAAAATCCAGCCAGTGAAGAAATTACCGAGGAAATCAACATAATTAGAAAGTCTCTCGCGCTGAAAAGGCAGACCCTACAAGAATTGAACGACCGCATATTGGATATCCTTTCTGAAGAGGACATCGAAACAGAAATCGCAAATACAGATGAGTACATGTATGAATTAGATTGTAAAATTAGGGAAACTGAGAAATTTACAGAAAAAATTCCATGTAAAACTTTGAACGCCAATGCCGAGTGTTTTATACCCACCACAGATATTCATGCTAATAACGTTAACACGTCAGCTACAATTAACTCAGGTGAAACGGCTTGTGAGAATATTTTGAACAATTATCCTGCCTCTGATCTCAATGCACAAAGTAGCCAGGAAAATGTTTTGTAATTAACATCCCAATACGCTATGAATAATCACAGATTACCAAAGCTAGATCTTCCGCATTTTTACGGAGATGTATTAGAATGGAATACATTTTGGGATTCTTACGAATCAACAATTCATTGCAATCATACTTTGACGCCAATTCAAAAGTTTAGCTATCTCAAAGCTCAATTACGCGACAGAGCGGCACAAACAATAGCAGGATTTCCGCTTACAAATGCTAATTATGAAATGGCAATAGACTTGCTCAAAGAACGATTTGGTCAGCCACAGAAAATTATTAACGCTCATATGAGAGCATTCATCGAACTTCCTGCCCCCAGAAATGATGCCATTAGTTTAAGAACTTATGGAGACTTCTTGGAATCCATTGTCAGGAGCTTAGAGTGTCTAGGGCAAAGACAAGAGATGTTTGGAGCATCACTTATTCCAGTCATAATCAACAAGCTACCAATTGAAATTAGGAAAAACATTGCACGTGAGTACGATGGTGACAACATTTCACTACAAAATCTTCGTAAAGCTATCAACAAAGAAGTCAAAATCCTTGAATCAGGCCAGATTGAAAACAGCGATGGATTTCACGCAACAGCAGTGTTTTTACCAGTGCTTCACAGAAACAACACAACGTTCGTTATTCACATAACCAGAAAACGAGAGAATCAACTCCTCATGTTGAAAAAACAGAGATGAAGAGCCGCCCATGCATTTATTGTTGCACAGAGAATCATTTTCCAGGGGATTGTAAGAATGTTACAGACGTAAGTGCAAGATTCGACATCTTAAAACGGAAGAAATTATGTTTCAACTGCTTGGGAAACCACCGCGCCTCAGATTGTAAATCCCGCAACAGGTGTAAAAAGTGTCAGAAAAAACACCACACAAGTATATGCGACATGAAACTAACAAGGGACAAAGACGAGCCCACCAAATCAACAAGTGTCAACATTGTAGAAACGAGCAAGAAGTCAGAAACCACAGTACTGAACGTTGAACATCGACCTACAAGTGTTTTACTGAATACAGGTAGGCCTATCTCTCCGATAAGTCGGACCGTGGACTCCATGCAAGAAGAACGTAACAAGTTGACTAACGAGATACAAAAATTAAAATCAGAGCTGAAGACACAGACACAAAGGAGGAACGCGTTGGAGCATGAGAATGCCACCCTGTTAGAGAGAGTGTCACAATTCGACGAACAAAAGGATTTTCAGACTCGTGTAGAGAATGTGATGAAGGAAATGGTGGAACAGAAAAATAAACTGGCGTACGAAAACGGACGTCTGCATAAGGAGATTCAGGAATTAAGGGGCCAAGTTGACATACTCAAAACCGCCACCTCTGACTCGGAGCATCTCAAGGCTAAAAACAACAGTCTTCAGTCAGTATGTGATTACACTCGAAGGGAAATAAGTGATCTAAAGATCAACGTACAGAGATTGGAAAATCAGCTGCAAACTTTACAGGGCTCCGTAGATAGCAGGGAGAGAGATTATAGGTTCGCCGTAAAGACTCGTGATGAGGAACTAAGGGAGAAAACTCAGCTAATAGAAAAACTTAAAGAGGCCGAGGAGAAGGAGAAAGATAAGTCACAAAAAAAAAGAATCTCAGGGACATGGCAGAGATAAAGAAACAAAATGACAACCTACAGACTCGGAACATGGAGCTGGAGAAAGCTAACACAGAACTACGTAATAAACACTCGAAAACTGAGACTCTGATACAAAACCTGAAATATAACGTGTCTGAACAGAAGAGGACTGAATATCAAAACCAAAAGCCAAAGAAAGAATCCGTGAATGGACCTCTTAATTTAGTGATTATGAACTTGCTTTTTATTTCACTGGAACTGTTAATTTAATATGAGCTTTTTAAAATTTTACTATTTATTTTGGTGCCCGGAGTGTCATGGATTATCCGCGAGTTTATGTAAGTTTAACTTTGTTGTGACGTCATAATACTTTACATTATGTTTCTATAGATAATAACAAGTCTCAAATAAACCACTATACGATTAAGACGTCTTTCATTTCATTCCACAACAACCATTCTATCATTCTGTTTATCACATTTATTTAATAAATATCGAACTTGACAGCATTTTACATAATAAGGAATCCTGGTACAATCGATTTTCATTTTATTTAGAAGCGTTACATTATAATGTCATACATTAATTCTACTAGAGTCGCAGAGTAAGGAGTTGTCCCTTACGTCGCGGGTTCGAAATCCCACTGCGGGACGTGGAAACCGGTCCTTTATAGGTGCTGGTATAAAAAAGATCCCTCACTGCTCGATGGCCCTGAGTGCCAAGTAAAGGTCTAAATTTACAGCCCTCAACCGGCAATTGTTAGCGTCTCCATATATGTGATATATTCACGAGAGGGACGTCAAACAATAAACAAACATTAATTTTATACCCAAGCCTCTTTCTTTATCTTCACTAAAATAATTACATGTCGCCCGCGTGGCGCAGTGGTTAGAGAGTCTGCTCTAGAGTTGCGGAGTAAGGAGTTGATCCTTACGTCGCAGGTTCGAATCCCACTGTGGGACGTGGAGACAGGACCTTCGGATGAGACCGTATAAACCGAGGTCCCGTGTTGCAATAGGTGCTGGCACGAATAAAGATCCCTCACTGCTCAATTGCCGTAAGTGCCGAGTATAGGACAAAATTTGCAGCTCTCCACCGGCAAGTGGTGGCGTCTCCATATGAGTGAAAAATTCTCGAGAGGGACGTTAAACAACAAACAAACAAACTCAAATAATTACAGTAATGAAAAACTTCATAAGCACTGTACAACAAATTCTGATATATATATTTGCGCAGAGTAAAAAGAAGGGTTTGGTTGAGCATTTACTAGACCCGCCAGTGCTTCTTTGTTTGTAATAAGCTTTATGAAGTTTGGGAACCCAGTGTAGTTAAGGTAGATCGATCTCACCTTGGTTGACTGGAATATTAAAAGTATTAAACACTGAAATGTGATTTAGAAGAATTTCCTCCTTAGAAGTCGTTTTAAATTAAATTGAATAAAAGCTTCCTCTATACAAAAAACATATACTAGGGAAAAATAACAAGTGATATGTGTAAATTATAAATCGCGAGTCAAAAAGATGATTTATAAGTAGCGTATGATAGCATGGTACACACTGTATTTAATACAAAGTACATGGTTCGTTCACATACAGTAAACTTGGTGTTTTATGCTAGCTTCCTAAAACAATGTGCACAACAGGAAGAACCATTTTGATAATTCTCTGATAATTTAGTTTTACTACACGTATATATGTCATCACTGGATATTCGTAGCATAAGTTCAAACTAAGGAATTTCCATTGGTTCCGCAGGTTGAAGAATAGAAAGGTTTAAGACATCAGCAATTTTGTCAATGGGACAAACGAAGGTTATTGGAAAGTTTGTCATTTTACCGAATGCTAGACCCAGAGGTTGTCGAGTATTATCTGTTTTATTTATAACATACGCGGTAGCGCCGGAATCTCCGGGTAAAAAGAAAATTTGCGAATTTGAATCATAAACTGTATAGCAGTTGTCTAACGTAAGATAAACTCCAGCACGGTCTGGAAAAGGCCTACGGATCAGAAATGTACAATCTTTTAAAATTCCCTTTGTTTCGCCAGTTGTCCTTCCCTTCTTGGTGACATCATACTCTTCATCGGAATCTATGTCGAAACTGAAGGATGAATAATACATTTCATCTGAAAATGAGAAAGAAATATATAAAATACCACTGTGATTTAAAATACATGAAGACTTCAAACAAGGTCAATGTGATGCTTTAAAAGCAGGACTTGTTTTACATACTTTTATGGATCAGGGCATCAGTTTTGATAAAAGCTGCGTCTATTCCAACACAATTGTAATTTCCAAAAAACGAATCTTCCACCTGTCCAGTGATATTGTTAGAAGCACTGTCTTCAAAGGACGGATGAACAATTTGATAAATTTCATTTTGAAAAGAATAATCAGAAAGTTTTCTTTCATTCAGTGAAGCAATAACATCGTCTGTTAATGCCACATGGGCAGCAGTAAGAAATCCATTGTGGGATGAATGTGATCGTTTCTTTGCAAAAAATCCCAAAGATCCCGATGAAAGTTCTCCGTATCTCCCAACGCTACATCCATGATCTAAGGCTTTACAATTCTCACATCTTCCAAACTGAATAAAATCTTCTAGAATGTTGCATTCAAACTCTTCAAGAGATTTAGGTAAAGGCTCTTCTCCAAATGGAATAAGATCTGCATCGAGGCAATATAAAACTATACACTCTTTATGAATGACATCGTCTCCAGAATAGTTTACTGGGCTCATGCTTATTGAGACTAAATTTGAATGCTTTGCAAACAGTTCGTCTTTTTTATTTTTTAAAATGTCTTTCATGCGCTTTTTTGTCTCACTCCTCATACGAAAGCCCTTTTCTTCTCTTTGCATAATAGTTTTAAAGCTCGTTTTGGTATCTGATTTCAAGGTTACATCAATAAATTCAAATATAGCATTATCAGGTACATTTACTACATGATCCCTACAAAATATTTCTGATTGGGCTTCAGAGTTTTGTAAAAATACTTTCATAACGATTGAATCTTTCTTTCTTCCTGCTATAAAGTGAAGAACGGATGGGCATCTTTCAATATTCTCTATTCGAAATTCACGGAGCATCCATTCATCTATAACTATAAAATTGAAAAGCATGGAAATATGAAATTAAACAAGGGTATTTTCTAATGATTTGCGATGCTCAACAATTTCTTGTCATTTCTTTTGAATTAAAGTATATAACTATATACTGAAATATGAAATTAACAAACAGTAACCACGCTCAAAAGTCCATTTAAACAATACAAATTCTTGGAAGAGCAAATATTTACCTCTCGAAACAGAGGTGGGATTAGTTACAATGGTGGAGTCATCACCGCCTGTCTGCCAATGTTATGCTTTATTGCACAACAAAGAAATCAAGGTTTTCCAGGGATTTTTTTTTACGAAGAATATATATTATAAAGGTTCCTTGGAAGTCGAATGGATTAAAATGATATACACTGTATACTGTTTGTTATTTCTTTATTTTATTCAGTCAACGCAATGTTCGCTGAAAGGTATGGAAACGTGAATAATGGCTAAATTCACCTTTCCGTTAAGTTGATTGCCCATATTCAACCTGGCCTATGGCTTATATTCTATAGCATTTTGTTTTAATGAACAAAATATTTCTTTAATCCAAAGGAATTTTTCATTGTAAATCCTGAAATACTAGGTTATTATCATATCGAAAAATAAACCATTAGCTTAAATAGATTATAGTAACCTACGTTTCATTTGGTCTCTAATGGGTATCTTTCTGCTTGCGGTTGCCAGTTGTTTACTCAATCTCATTAAATCCGTTTCAGTCTTATCACAAATAAGCTTCATTTTGTAAACTACTTCATCGATGATTTCTACATTTTTTGCTTGTATGTTGTCATATATTTCTTTTCCTATTTTGTTTCGCCATTCCACGGAGTTGATATTTACAGACGGTACAACTGTTTCCTTTCCATATGTTTCATCAGCCAATATCATCGCTTGTAATGGGTTCAAAAGTTCTACAACCTGGCCAAGAACAAAGGCGCTCATCACATGTGTTCCAATTCCCTTGACTGTGATATCTTTAAAAATGTTAGATTTGCCTAAAGTCTGTACTTCGAGCCTCTTTTGAAAGTGTTTCAAAATACCAACCAAAACCTCGTTAGTAAACTCTTCACCAACTTTCTCGAATGTTTTTGAAATAAGTTTTTCTTTTAACCTACGAATAAACCATGGAGAACGACTTGAATAACTCCCATCATGGACAGATCCGATGTTGTGACCCTCACAAACAATTCCTAGATTTTGGCAATTCTTTTGTATCTCTTCCCATGAAAACGACTTAATTGTGGCTTTTCCCACAATGTCTTCAAGCTCTTGCATCGAAATGCTATTCACAAGTTTTTCAACCGCACCTCGAAAAGAATCGATCGTGTACTTAGTACAGTATAAAAGAAATTCCTTGTTTGAATCTAATTCATGGAAGACTCTAAAGCTATTTTCTTGGAACAGGTATTTGAATTGTTTGTAAACAGCTAGTTTTGCATCTATAACAGACGCAGAATGGCTGCTTACCAGGAATGATCTTGCCAAGTGCGTTGTGCTTTTCAATTGCTCTAAGGTACTTTTCAGCTGTGTTTTAAAGAATCATGAATTAAATGAAATTAGTCAGTAGGCTGAAATCAGATTTCTACAAATGCAACATCGATAAAATAAAGGCATATTAAGTCCAATTTCATAGGCATTTGTTGATTAATGCCACAAAATATATCGTGTGTATGTTTCTTATATATATATATATATATATATATATATATATATATATATATATATATATATATATATATATATATATATATTATATATCATTGCATATTAAGAGTAAAGCCATTACAATTTTTAAGACAACTTTGCATTCAGCACAAAAAGTTATTTAACAAATTTTACCTCCTGCACAATAAGTTGTTTATTGGATGGTTTTACTTCTACTTTAAAAATGCACACACGACCGTCTCCAGCATTACTATCGCAAAGATTACTGGGATCCACTAAAAAAACCCTGCTCTCTAAAGATTTTAATCTGCTTTTAAATTCGTCAATGTTTAGTGATTGCAGTAGATGATGAGCTAGCGAAGCATCAGACTCATTTGGATACATATCTCCTATCGTTTTTAGAACATCCACTATATCAGCAATATCTCTAGATTCGAATCGAAGTGTTTTTGGAAAATCATCCCCCTTCTCTGCACAAAAAGAAACTGTTCATTAAATTATAGATCAGCCTAATTTTCATTTGATATGTTAGATTTGAAATGGGGTCTTTTACAGCTTTTTTTACAGTTCTTTGTTGTTTAACCATGCCAAGATGTTTTATGCAAATTTGTGTCACTTGAAGAGCAGAGCGACACTTAAGGATCACAGATTTAATATCTTGTGAACTGTAAAAGGTATATTTTGCTCATGTTTTAATTGACACAATTCACAATGGCTTTTGAAAAACATCAGAGTAATCAAACTCGTGACCTTTGGAAGTGACCTTTTATATACCTTTCAAAATAGTTCGTAGTGCCGATACACAGCAAGTTGAGAGGTTAATTAGTCTGTGCTATTCAGCATGTGCACCCTTTGTCATGAGACATTTCATAAACTAACAGCGATACAGTCCTCTTTACCTTAACTTTTGACATACTGTTCAAGACTAGACTACTCCGAACCATTCATCAAATTTGTGTCTTTTGAAGTTTGAGAGGTAAGGCATTCCTTATGTCATAAATCTTAATGTTTATTTCATTCAGATGTTTCTATAAAATTTGCAACTGTGTGTTTTTCAACTCATCAGCTTGAGCTTTAGGGTTCTTGACAAGTTTGTCAATTTCTCTGTCCCAGTCCTCTCCATGTGCAAATGCATAGTCTATAATAAGAGTATGCACAAGAATAGATCACCACACGTAAGCTTTTTCGATATCTTTAATGATGCTGTAGTAGGGAACAAATATATTTCTTGGGACACTCTATTTCTAGGATTTTACGTTAGTTTTTTAGCGAATTTCTCGCTTCATATATTCACCGTGTTTTACGATTCTTTAGAAATTCTTACTGACTTATTCTGCTTTGTACATCAAAGACAAAGTTTTGGTAGTTCGTATAAATTGTGTGTTTTTTTTTCCCTTTATACTCACTGTAAATAGTGGTGACAGTCTCTGGTTTATCAAGCAGCTGTTTGACTGGAGGAGAGGATCCAGCTTCTGATGATTTCTCTGGTGGATTCATGCTGTAGCCAAGTTTATCTGAAGTTACAGAACTTGATGATAACGTGCCAAATACTTTAATCAGTTTTTCCCCCTGGACTTTTTGTGCCATAAATATTGGTGAAGATGGCAGAATATTTTTCGGAAGGTTTTTATACTTTTCTACATTGAATTTAACATCGGACAGTATTAATATGTCATTAGAGTCTAAAGCACATTTACATAACTCAATTTCTTTCATTATGTCATGAATCTTAATGTTTATTTCATTCAGATGTTTATGTAAAATGTGTAACTGTGTGTTTTTCATCTCGTCAGCTTGAGCTTTTAGGTTCTTGACAAGTTTGTCAATTTCTCTGTGCCAGTCCTCTCCATGTTTGGTTATGGCTGATGAGAGATCTCCATATTCTTTTTCTAATTGACTCATTCTGTTTTGTATATCAAAGGCAATGTCCTGGTAGGTTGGGTAAATTCTTTCTTTCAATTCGGTTTGTTTTTTGATGATTTCTTTCTTTTTTTCTTCCACAACTTGCAAGATGTCTGATACTTTATGAACCTGGTGTCGGTAAGATAACAAACAGTACGAACAGATAGGAATGTCACATTGATAACAGTATTTTTCACATCGTTTTTTGTGATGAAATGTGCATCCAGGGTAGACGGCAGTGGATTTTCGAAGCTTGAACGGGACAAAATCATGTGTTTTGGATTCATCGGAACACATGTGTACTCCTACACAGGCCTTACACAGGTTGACGAGACATGCATTGCAGTATATCTGTACCACAGCGACCTCACACAGGTCACATCGTATTACGTCCGTGGCACTATTAAGGGGGTTCATAATCAGACGTTTTGCATCTTGAAAATAAAAAAAAATCGGGATTTACTCTTGAAGAATATTCATTATCAAATGATAAGAAAAAAGATCTTCGAAAATTGAGTTAATAGGACTATAAATTGAAAATTCAAAGGCAGCTGTGAACATTTGAGTACAATTCATTAACATACTGCTATAATTAAAAAAAAAACCAAATAATAAGTCAGATTAGGGATATAGAGACGCAGGACAAGCCACTGAAAAAGATTTCTGAATATAGTACTAAAAATGTGCTTAAGTGAAAAGGTAGGTTTTGATGATAAAGGAACATATTTAAAAAATAAGATTATAGATATCGAGTTAGGATTGCATTATTAATATGTATCCTACCTGGTGTTTAGGAGACGATAATCATGTACCTAGTTGATATATCCAAACACAGTTTGTTGCTATGTATTTAGATCGTATTACGTGACAGACCTGTCAGATGTTTAAAAAGCTAGGCTATTTAAATGGTTGCATTCTTATAGAATATTTGACAATGATTAAGTGGAGCGCAGCCGAATATTAACAAAAGCCTTTACACGTTATACACAATTAACTTCGATCTGCCTCTTCAAACAGAGCGATTATTCAAGGTTGTTCATTACACTTATAAAGTTCAATTGATTTTTTGCCGCATAAATTCATTTATTAGTTGATTCAATAACCACTTAAGAAATTTACCAAAGTTTTAATCTTTTGTGACTAATGGGATTTTACTTCAAGAAAACTAGTCCTTTACATGTTCGTTTCAAGTCTTTATTGGGTAACTCAAAGTATATGCGTAAAACAAATCAAACAATAAAATTTCTAAATATAAACTAAAACTCTCAGGCTCACATCAACTCTTTTCCCATCTCCCGAAACTCCTCCAACATTTCTAGAGATAATCAAAGGGATGAAAGGATATTAGCATCAATAGAAAGCTTGTTGACATTAATTTTATAGAGAGAATCCTCAAGACTTTTGCTAAGAGTAGGTTTAAACTTTTACCTCTAAACGCAAATCTTATAACACTGTCATTGAAACCGTGGGTGAAATCAAAGTAAAATGAAATATGATTGATTGATTGTATGTTGTTTTACGTTCCATTCGAGAATCTTTCACTCATATAGAGACGTCACCATATACCGGTGAAGGACTTCAAATTTTGACCTTCACTCTGCACTCAGGGCCATTGAGCACTGAGTGATCTTTATCGTGCCAACGCCTGCCGTGACACGGGGCCTCGGTTTTTAAGGTCTCATCCGAAGGACCCGCAACTTTCACTCCAAAGTACCGAGCGCATGGCGAAGGAACAGTTGCTACCCATTTTTTATCGACTTAGGTCAGTCGCGGTCGAGATTCGAACTCACAACCTCCCGATCACGGAGCGAGCGCTCTACTGACTGAGCTACCGTGCACGGTAAAATGAAATATGTAGATAACGAACAGTAATCAATCTCAAAGTCCATCAAAACAATTGAAACAATACAAATTTGGAGCAGAGCATAGCAACCACGGACCTCTAAAAACATCAGAGGTGGGATCAGGTGCCATGGAAGAGTAAGTATCCCCTGTCGACCGGTCACACCCACCGCATGCGCAGGTACGTTACGGCTTCCCAGAGAATATCGCAGTGTACTCTGTGTCTTCACTTGTGTGAACTACAAATCTATGAGGTCATAATTGAAAATGACGTCAAGTCACTGCAAACTTGAGCTGTTATGTGGGGAGAGTGTCATAAACTTTACATCTTATTTCAATCTGCATATAAAGTGTCAGAAAGGTAGTATAAATTAAACGTGTTTTAATCTTTTTTAAAAAAAATCTTATATATCCGAATATTTTAGATAACTTTGCTTTATTACTCTTGTTTAAAAATCAGCGTGTTCAAAATATATACGAAAATATATGTTTGATATTTACCCTTTTTTATACTCTGGGATAGTAGTAGAATTTATAATGTGTGTATAAAAGAGCCTGGCGCAGGTGATTAATGAGGATTTATTTGAGATCTTTTGTGGAAATCTGTAAGAGGAGTTTCCCCTCTAACTGAATCTTGCTTGGGAATAATGTGTGATGGCTCTGTTTTAATACGTATGACGATATTGAGTGGAAAATACGCTCAAATTTGTCGGTAAGTTGAATTTATTGTGAAATATTTTGTACCAGAGTAATAGTATTACTTTTCCCAAGCACATTTCGGGTTCACAAGGATGCGACGAGTTTATTTATGTGACAAAAAGTTAATAATAATTGTGTTAATCAGCTGCGCCGAAGCGATTTATGTGAAACACTTAAAAAAAGCAGAAATGACCGTCACCTGATCAACGAGGCCATGTGATATCGTAACAGATACGTTTATATATAGCCTAGAAAACTCTATATAAATTGGCCGTACTTAAGTACATAACTTACAAATAAAAAAATCGACCTTGCTATGCAGTTTTATGTTTTGAACACATTTAAAGCTTCGGGAAGCCTTAACATTGCTGCGTGCTCATTGTCATGATGAGGCAAACAGAAAAATCCGTAAACAATTTAATGTTTAAATGATGGTCTAACAGTTAGTATGAAAAAGTCAGTCATACTTAATGAGAGATTGTTTTTGCTGACAAGGTCATTGTATCGACCATAGTACTTACAAAATGATGACTTCAAACGAGACGGTTGACATCTTTGTTTCATCAACTTGTTTGTCAATAGCTTACCTCGTTTTAGAAATTGTTCGTCCTAGGAGCATGCTATTGCGTATCGAAGATATAAACCCCAGGTGACTAGGATATATTGCTGCATAAGTAAGGCAAGTTGACGATTGAAAAGTCTGTCATCACGTTTATCATAAAGTTTTGTTGTTAGGTTTCAATTAACGTCTTTTTCTAGTAAAATATCCAAATATGAAACAGATGTATCAAACTATTTGGTATCTTTGGTATAAAGGTAACAATTCAACACTCCACTTCCTAGCTTAAAAAAGCTTATCTAGTATTTACATTTTAAATATCAATCTTTCGTTGTCAGGTTTATTTTAGAAAGTTGGGAAAATTGTGTAAAAAAGTGTGTTTAGCGAAAACTGTATTAAGATTTGGCAAAGTTTGAAACTAAGAGATTCGTTTCATGATTACATGTATGTTAAGCTTATTGATAGAGCTGATTGTCAAATAAAAGTAGCTCATAAATCAACACAGGATGGAAGAAACATTAGATCTCTGTAGGCAAATAAAATCAGATCTGTCAAACTTATATATTCAATACAATTCAAAACAAAATAATTGGCAACATGATCACAAAGTTTTTGTTTCTGTACCATTGTCATGTCTATGACCAGTTTATCAAATGGTTAGCATTAGAAAAGCACTGATGTTGAAATAACTTAATAAAAAATTGGAAACAAAAAATGTCGCACACAAAATATCATTGCAGTGAGAAAAAAAACTTCAATTTGTGGACCATGTGTCAGACACTTTTTCAAAACATAAAAACAAATAATGAAATACAAAAATAAGTATAAAATATCTGTGTAACCAAAAAAAAAAAAAAATAACCATAAGAAATCTTTCCCAGTTTCCTATTAAGGTTGTTCACTTTGAATAATTAAGCAGTCGGGTTCTTCCCAGCAAAGTTTTCCTTGTCCTCAGATTTTCCTTTGGTTCGCTGTCGCCGATTACGAATGGCTCGGACAATACCGGATACAACCAGGGCAACCCAGATCAACCAACACAATCAGGCAGCTACCTATACATGAGAAATTTAGTTAAATAATGTAAAATAGAGAAAATGTGAAAGTACTGTTAATCGCTTTTTATTCACAAAAACTTTATTTTTTCATAATTATGTGAAACCGTCTGTTCGCGAAAATTTCATTCTTGCATATCTACTATTAAGGACAGATGATGCAAACAATTTTTTTCTTTGGAGGAGACTTAATATCATGTCACAGTTTTAGAAAAGTGGATAATTCTTTGATTTTTTTCCCTTAGACTTGGAGAATGAAATACCTTCCAAATTTCCCAAAAAAAGTACACAACTAGAGTAAACATGGTAAAATTGTTTAATCTTCATTCATTTACCCTCTTTTTTCTTCAGAAATGTTTCTAAGGGAGCACAGAGTGAACTGATATTACATTTACTCAATAACCTGTTGTATTTTCTTGCAAAAAAGAAATGACACTTGGAAAATATTAGTTGATACTTCAATAAAATTACAAATATGGACAAATCACACTCAGTAAAGGTTTACAGATGAAAATAAATTTCAGAATATGTTAGCATGGTGCTAAAAGTGTAATATAAACTTTTAAAAAATATACCAAGCCAGGTGAATTTTATGATTTAGGCTGATTTTTACCATTTTGCTTTTCCTCATGAAATTCACCTTCATAAAAACGAAATGACAATCTTGCAAAACTAACGTCTCATGAAAATTTAGTGATCTACAGTATATCAACATGTATATTTGTATCAGGAAAGATCATTTACAGGATGTACACCTGGGTTCGTATGCATAAAAATTCTTTTAAGTCCTTAAGCATATACTTAAGTACTGTTTCCTGCTTAGCAGATTGGAATTTTACTTAGCATATTGCTTAGCATGTTGCATAAAACTTCTCAACTCTTAAGTATATGCTCAGCATATGCTTAAAGTTAAGTATAATCTTTTTTTACTTAAGTTCTTAAGCATATTACTTAAGATATTTCAAAGAGGTAGAGGAACAAAAATAATTAAAGGAAATTTACAAAAAAATGAAATAAAAAATATGAAGAGGTAATTAAATCAATGAGTCAATTACAATCTGCATGTATATACTTTATTATATGGCATTTATATACTTTACAAGATGCTAGCAATTTATTATTAAACCGGAAAAAAAATATGACGTCATTTGATTGTTGCGTAGTTTTGTCAACGTCCAGCACCTGTGACAATGCAGTGTAGTCAGAAAAGCCCTTTTTGAGTTCACGAGTGCGATTTACATCTAGTTATGTTAAATTATTCTTACATTTTCAGAAGAATTTGATTTACATGTGTCCCATGTTACACATACTTTATACAATCATTCAATCGACACCCCAATTGTGGATTTATTTAAGTAACTTGAGAGAGAGAGATATTTAATGAATTCGTATTCAGAAAAAGTGCCAAATACTACACGAGATTACATACATCGTGGAAAAGTGTTTACTATGTCCTCTAATTCTATAAAAAATAATTTCAATTTCAAAATTAATTTGATTCGCTCTCCCTCTCAATTATGCCATTTTTTCTCTACATCCACCACAGTTTGTTCATTGTTTCTCTCTCCCTCTCTCTCTCTGTCTGAGTAGATGATAATATAAACATGTCATCGATATCAAACAAAATATTTTGATCAATTAAATCGATCAAAATATAAAAAAAATAGTTATAACAGGAAGGTGAATCATTAAATAAATATGAATGATATTTTTCATAATATTATTTCTTTGCTTCTTCATCATGACATGTGTTTGTTTACATTTAAGTGAAAGCAAAAGTGACTTTATTGACATGGCAACAGTGTACTTAAGCAGATTGCGATATGCTTAGCTAAGAATCGCTAAGCATGTTGCTTAGAATTTTTATGCAACGGAAATTAAGCATGTTACTCAGCTAAGAATATGCTTAAGAAATTTAAGCATATACTTAAGGAAATTCTTAGAATTTTTATGCATACGAATCCTGCTGTTTAGTCCTACTCATTTTTTTAAAAAAAAATATTTATCAATTCTCCTACTCCTTTTTTTAAAAAAAGATATTTATCATATTAAAACAAATCAACAGCAAGAAAGTTAACAAGCAATTCGATGAAATATGGGGAATGAAACCTAAATCATTTATGCAATACCTTTGCAACGTGGAAGAGTTTATAAAAACTGCCTGTGTCGTATTCTTTTTCTTCTTCAGGACCACTGCATGCTGATCTCACATGTTTTTTTTCTGCTGTGGCACAACTGAAATTGACAAGAAAAATAAAACATTAACTGTTAATAATAGACAAGCCTCATTACTCTGGACACCATTAATCTGGACACCACTTCACTTTCCAGTCAAATTTTTTTTTGAAAACAGAATTTACATTTATTCTTTATACCAATTATAAATGATGCATTCCAGTAATCTGGTAGCTACAGATCTGTAGCTCACCAGTCTGAAAAAAACTGGGATGGAAGTCCAGAGAGTACAGTGCCACCCAGTGAAAAAAGCATATATTTACTGCACACAAGAAGTGTGCTGCTTCTTGATATATTCCTCTGAACATTTAAACTGCCATCTCAAAATATTTCTTACCATGTGTTTCTGACATTTTCTTTACTATTACTACAACAAAATATTCCCCATTACCTTTGTTAATATCCCTCCTGGGCCTGCAGAGTAATGAGGCTTGTCTATTAATAACAGTTAATGTTTTATTTTTCTTGTCAATTTCAGTTGTGCAACAGCAGAATTTCATTAAAATTGAACTTTTATGTAGCTGAGGTAAGAATTTGAAGAAATGAATAAAAAATCTTAAGTTTTGTGCCCAGTAAGCATACATTTTTTTCTATGGGTGGCACTGTAGCGCTCCAGTCTGTCATTATTTTTTCAGAGAGCTACAGTCCTGGGTGCTTCTTAAATCCTGCTCAATTGCTCGGGTCTGACCTACATTTTCCCGATGAGTCGCCAACTTTTTAGCAGGGCCACTCCCAAGCAACTATTATCTACTTTGACCAAACTTAAATGGATGATGCAGTTAGGGATGGCCATCACCAGAGTTGCTTCAGATACTGTATCTGACCTACATATCTCTGATGAATGAGCAGAATAAAATTTTTCGAGCAGGTCTATTCTCTATAACTTTAAGACCTACCTAACTCAAACTTGCATGCATGTTGCATCTAGGGATGCACACTATCTGATCTGCTTCGGATGTCGGGTCTTACTTTTTTCCCAGATGAGTGAATATATGCCCTACCTAATTATAAACCAAACTAGCATGGATATGTATCTAGGGATGGACACTAACAGACTTGCTTTGGATCCTGGATCTGATCTACATTCTCCAAATGACTTGATCTAGGTATTTTTTCGAGTAGTTTTATAATCTTCTGGCCTGCTATGATGAAACTTGCACTGATGATGCCACAAGGGATGAATATCACCAGACTTGCTTACATTTTATGGATAAGAGAACAGGTAAAAGTTTCTGGAGCAGACCCATTCCCAAGTAACTATTTGTCCTACTTAAAACAAATTGCAAAGATACTGATCTTTGCAATTGCCTTTTTCAGGATTTTTTGAAGCGCCTATACCGTGACATGGGGCCTCGTTTTTTGATGGCTCATCCAAAAGACCCGTACTTTTCACTTCTAATGCTGGGCGCTTGACAAAGCAATGATCTCTACCTTTTAATTTGTTTACGTCCTAGGTTTATGACACGGGCGGCAAATAAGAATTGAACCCTGAGGCCTCCCAATGCCCGAAGCGAAGGCTCTACCACCTGGCTTTAGTGACCAGTACAAAGTTTCTGAATTAGAAAATGTACGTCAGTCAGCAGTGATAACTTAAGAAATCTCCTTGAAAGTTTAAGAAACCATGCCAAGAAAAAATTATTCCTCTCATCTGGATATTGATAGTGAGACTTCTCTTACTGAGGAGGATTATCACAACCTGACAAGACAATTCGACGATCTAATGGTAGGTTTAATGTGGGAGAAATCAAATCACCAAACCCATAAACATCGGCACATGTTTTGCAATTTGGATGATGAACCTGTGATGTGCTTTAGACATCAAAATGCTGGCAACCTTTTTCTGATCAATATGAAAAAAAGGCAGATGCGTTCTGTTGCTGTAATGCTGATCATAAATAATCTTTTTGTTGTCTTAAGGAAGCTCTAAACACTGCACACTAAAGAGTTCTATTTGAAGGGTAGTTTTATTGAGTTAGAGTGATCTGCCCTTGTAAGAAAAATAGAATAAATGGGAATCTACTTATTTCCATAAAATTTCTAGATGCAAGTAAACAACAGTGATATCTGTTCACAAATAGTTCACTGTCTTTGAACATTTTTTCTGCAGAAATAAGGCAGGTACCCTATGTTGAAAATGAATTAGATACACTGAATATGTTCACCTATATATGATAATTTTTTCTCAAAGTCCAAAAAGCATTTTTCATTAGTGTTTAGAGCTTCCTTAATAGGAAAGAGAATTTTTTCTCTTCAGTTTATATTAAAAAAAATTCTCTTCACAAAAAAAAAACAAAACAAAACAAAACAAGAAGAGGCCCATCGGCCACATCGCTCATTGGCTAGGAAGAGGCAGAAATCAGTTCAGTATTGAATGGGGGGGGGGGGGCAAACTTTAATTTACACTACCTCCAGATGCTTCCATATCAATATTACTAATCATGGCTTTGATGTTCTTACACAGAAGAATTTTAAAGATTTTTTTCCTACGTTTTCCACAGTCATGGTAGCTCACTCTGTAGAGCTTTTGTTCCATGATTGGAAGATCTTTAAGGTCTCATCCGAAAGATCCGTGATTTTCAATTCTAGAGTCACTAACCTATGCAATGTTAAATGTCGAACATTTATACAAATCAGTCACAGTTGCCTAGTGGTAAGGCGTTAAATTGATTATCGGGAATCCCAGTCTCTATTCTCGTTCGCCACGTGCACACTGTGTCAAATCTAAGATATGAACATAGATAGGGACTGTTCTTCATCAAGCGCCCTGCACTAAAGTGGAAATCAGGGGGTTTTAGGATGAGACCTTAAAAACCGAGGCCCCATCTCACGAAAAGCGTTGGCATGATAAAGAACCCTCACTGTTCAATGGCCCTGAGTGCTGAGTATAGGTCTATATTTAAAGCCCTTCAACGGAACATTGTATGTGGTGACGTCCTCATACAAGTGAAATATTCTCGGATGGGATGTAAAACAACATAAAATCAATCTTACATTTATTCACAGATTTGTATTATTAGTAGATTTTTTGAGATCATCACTTTTTTTATCTTCACCTTTTTTCATTTGACCTAGTAAGAAAAAATTACACTCAGATTTCCCAATAACGAAAAGAGTGTCCAACCATTGATGTGACAAGTTATGGTTGTGAACAAATGTAATTCTGAAAATGTGTTCATATGCAGGTTAAAGACCTACAGTCTGTAAGAACAATTTTTCTTCTATATAATATAATGGAAAACCTCCAAAAAACGATGGTTTATGCAATGAAATGTAAACAAGATAGGAATGCCTTGTCTTGAATACATTGTCCAAAAAGAGTAGTAAAAAACAGCATAAACTTTGCAAACATCAAAACAGTTTATATTGTGTTAAATACAGATTTGCTTGCATGAAATATAAAAATATAAACAATGAAATATTCTACCAAAAAACTGACTGAACAATATGAAGCATTCATCAACAAGTTTTAAAATTTACTAAAAAATTCAAATAAGTTTGTGATCCTCCAAAGGAAAAATGTATGATGCAATCATTTTTAGGGGTATTTAGTAGTAGCAATATTTATTATTTCCTTTAAAAAAGTTATCATTAAATTAAAATGTTATACCCATATACTATCAGAAATTCTCTTACTTTTCTTCAAAAGGATATATTAGAGTACTTCTCCTGTATTACATGTACAAGTACATCAGTATTGCTAACTGTCTCACATTTCATCTGATCAGCTTAGGTACACATAAACAGCAGTTATAGCAATTCTAATGCTGTAAAATACACAAACTTTCCTTCACTGTACTGTAAGTAAACTTAATTTATCTATAGAATATTACATTCTCTTTGGCAAAATCCATTGTGCATATTATCACCATAATTTGATTTTGTATAGACAAACAAATCAAAAAATACAGTGAAATTGACCCTGATCTATGTTTGGACTCAAATTTGAATAATGTGTTAAAATAAGACTTCAGTTTTAAAAGAGTACAAAAGGAAAGAAAAACTTAGAAAAATAATTAATATTTTTATACATAAAAAGCATAGGCATACTTTTTCTCAAATATAGCCAGTAATTTAAGTTATACTGGTATGAGAGTAGTAATTCATAACTGTATACAGTTTAAACAAAAATCAGGTCAAACAAAAACTTCACCAATCCCCTAGAAAGGTCTTTTTATGCTCAATTAATTTTTATTTTTAACAGAAGTGTAATACTGGGTAACATTGCACAAAATGTATTTAGTAATTTATATTGCATAAATTATCACAAATTCTCACAACACATATTGTATTTAAGATAACAAATAATGACAATACATGTATAATGAATTCTATTACATTAATTTATAAACATCTATACTATAAAAATAATTTGTTAAGAAACTGTAGTGGAGGAATAAATTATTGTAAATATTGTTTTTTAAACAGTGAAATACATGTAAATTAGTTACAGATATTTTGAATCTGTGAGGTGGGAATTACCTATATAATTTAGTGGTCCAACACCTTGCCCTAAGTTATATAATCATAAAATTAGTAGGATACACAAATTTGGGAGCTAAATTCACCAAAACTACAAAACAAATGAATTAGATATAGTCAAATCTTTCTAACTGATCGTACTGTATTTATCAGCTTCTTATTTGATCTCTTTAAGATATTCTTTTATGTTGTACAATATGGGTTTGACTGTGCATGCCTAGATTTAACGACTACACAATATGACTTCTTTACAAAAGTATAAAAAGAAATATGTACAAACATGCCATATCTGAAAAAAGCTTATCTGGTATTTACACTTTAAATATTAATCTTTCGTTGTCATTTTTATTTTAGAAAGTTGGGAAAAATGTGTTAAAACTGTGTTAAGTGACAACTGTATTAAGATTTGGCAAAGTTTGAAACTAAGAGATTCATTTCATGATTACATGTATGTAAAGCTTATTGATAGAGCCGATTATCAAATAAAAGTAGCTCATAAATCAACACAGGATGGAAGAAATATTAGATCTCTATAGGCGAATAAAATCAGATCTGTCAAATTTATACATGTATATTCAATACAGATTGCAATTCAAAACAAAATAATTGGCATCTTGGTCACAAAGTTTTTGTTTCTGAAGCAACCATTGTCATGCTTATGACCAGTTTATCAAATGGTTAGCATTAGAAAAGCACTAATGTTGAAATAACTGAATAAAAGATTGGAAAAAAAATGTCACACACAAAATATCATTGCATTGAAAATAACTTCAACTTGTGAACCATGTGTCAGACACTTTTACAAAACTTAAAAACAAACGAATTACAAAAACAGTTATAATTCATCTGTGTCACAAAAAAAGATAACCATAAGAAATCTTTACCAGTCTGCTATTAAGGATGTTCAATTTGAATATCTAAGAAGCATCATTTGCAAAATACAATTTTTTATATTGCTGAAATACATGTACAGTCTCTTAGTCAACAGTCCACATGCAAACTTCATGATCTTGCGATCTGACGGCTACCAGTCATTTCTTAAAATCAAGTACTCACTTACATTAGAAACTTTCAGTATGAGCATTCTGTGATCTAGTAGTCTACATATTGCCATAATTTATCAGATTTTGATATAGCAGATTAGCATCATAACCACACTTAGTGTTTGGTCTTTATTCACCATTTCCACAAAACAATATAAAAAATTGTTTCAGTCAAACCTGTTTTGGCAACCCCCTGTATTTATTAACAACATACCATGTGATCTTTTCAAAATTTCCCTTGAAAGATTGCTCATTACAGGTCTGACTGTATTGTATATATTATCATCTACATAGTTACATATTATATGGCTACATTACAAGAGTAAAAAAAATATGTACAAACATGGGGAATCTGATTAAATCTGATTAAAGCTTATTTAGTATTCCTATTATAACAATTTATCTTTCGTTGTCAGTGTTTTCAGGCAGTGGGGGGAAAAGTGTGTTCAGACAACTGTATAAAGGTTTGGTAAAGGATATTTGAAAATAAGACAATCATGTCATGATCATACATATATAATAATGCTACGCAACAGATAAATATAGTTTGTACATCTACACAGATCTCTATAGGGAAATAAAATCAGATCTGTCAAACTTAAAATCAATACAGGTTAAACAAAAAAAAAATGCAACACCAACACAGTTTTTCCTATAGGCAACCATTGTCATAAGTATGAATTAGTTATCAAATGGTTTAAACTAGAAAAACAATGACACTGAAATAAATGGCAAAAAAAAGTTTGACACAAAATATCATTATAGTGAGGGGAGATATCTTCAACTCATGGACAATGTGCCAGAACTTTTGTTGGAAAACTTAACAAAAAAAACAAAGATATCAAAAAAGGTGTAAACAAAATAACAGAAATGTGTAGGTTCTTTTCCTTCACTTCTGTTCATTAAGCAGTTAGATTCATTCCTCTAGTATGTTATTTAAGTTGTTCATTTCTGTTCATTAAGCAGTTGGGTTCTTTCCAGCAAAGTTTTCCTTGTCTTCTGCTTTTCCTTTGGTTCGCTGCCGTCGGTTACGAATGGCTCGGACAATACCAGAGACAACCAGGGCAACCCAGATCAACCAACACAACCAGGCAGCTACCTGTATGTAATAGATTTAGTTAAGGGAAAATAGAAAAAAACATTACAGTTTTGTAAATCACTTTTGATTGGTGGGAACTTTATTTCTGTGTAATTAAGCAAAACCTTCTGCTTGCAAAAATTTAATTCTTGTGTTCATGTATAATTCTACTATTAAAGATAACATAGAGCAGTAACCAACATTCATGAAAATTTTGTTTTGCTTATAAATACCAAACAGCAATCACGTGGAAATATGGTTTTATGAAAATTTAATATTGACAGTATACCAAGTTACCAACATGTGTATTAACATCACCAAGAAAGATGTACACCTGCTGATTAATCCTTATCTCTTTTTCTAAATTATTTATCAAATTAAATCAACTCAATAGCAAGAAATTTAATAAGCAATATGATTTAATAAGGAGAATTAACCATCATTTATGCAATGGTACCTCTGCCACGTGGAAGAGTTTATAAAAACTCCCCGAGTCGTATTCTTTTTCTTCTTCAGGTCCACTGCATGCTGATCTGACATGCTTCTTTTCTGCTGTGGCACAACTAAAAATTGACAAGAAGTAAAAGAAAAAATTAACATTCAGAATTATAGCTGAGCCTCATTTATCTGGACACTAATAATCTGGATACTTTACATTCCAGTCAGAAGTTGTGGAGAACAGAATTTACAGCTGCAGATCTGTAGCTCACTTGTCTGAAACAATTGGGACTGAAGATCAGGCCCCAGGATCATGAAACAGACTTAGACTTAAGTCAAATTTTCAATCCCCTATAAAATGTTCATTAATTATTGAATTAATCTCTAAATTTGCAGATAACAACACTTTTGTAAAGCAATATTGAACAATATTTTAATTTTGTTCTGCTTGACTTCTACAAAAATTTAGTACAAAATAAAGATTTTGACTTAAGCTTAAGATGTTTCATGATCCTGGGGCCAGAGCTACAGTACCACCCAATAAAAAAATAAAGCTTTTTCTGTTGGTGGCTCCATAGCTCTCTAGTCTGTCAATATTTTTTTTCCAGAGAGTTCAGCAGCTGTTAATCTAGATGCTTCATAAATCCTGCTCAATGGCCAGGAAACATAAATACATGTAAAACTAGGCTTGACTGTGAAAAGCTGGAGGGGACAGTTTTACACTGCACTTGGTAAAAATAACATTTAAAATAGCATTTGGAATTTTATCCCATGAAGTATTCGTTTACATCAGTAAACAAAGCAAATTTATGCCTTAAATTCTGCCATATTTTACCTTGATCTTAATTAGTGTTAGATAATTGATGGTAAATCTATTTAAGGCTGAGGTGCATAGTTTAGAGATGTCTTTATGCTGTTAACATATTTCTTTACATGACTAACAAGAGTTATCTGTCTTTTTTAGAGTACAAATGACATGAGCATTACTTGTTCTTTTCGTAAAACTGACAAGAGTTAACTGTCTTGTTTCGAGATTTCTCTGTATGATTGACATGCCTACACTTATCATACAGTTATCTGTCTTGATTTAAGATTTCTCTGTAGGATTGACATGTGTTGTGGAAGTCTACACTTAACACACAGTTATCTGTCTTGTTTTGAGATTTCTCTGTAGGATTGACACGTGTTGTGGTAGTCTACACTTATACAATTACCTGTCTTGTTTTAAGATTTCTCTGTAGGATTGACATGTGTTGTGGTAGTCTACACTTATCACACAGTTATCTGTCTTGTTTTGAGATTTCTCTGTAGGATTGACATGCCTACACTTATCACACAGTTATCTGTCTTGTTTTTGAGATTTCTCTGTAGGATTGACATGTGTTGTGGAAGTCTACACTTATCATACAGTTATCTGTCTTGTTTTGAGATTTCTCTGTAGGATTGACATGTGTTGTGGAAGTCTACACTTATCACACAGTTATCTGTCTTGTTTTGAGATTTCTCTGTAGGATTGACACGTGTTGTGGAAGTCTACACTTATCACACAGTTATCTGTCTTGTTTTTGAGATTTCTCTGTAGGATTGACATGTTTTGTGGTAGTCTACACTTATCACACAGTTATCTGTCTTGTTTTGAGATTTCTCTGTAGGATTGACATGTGTTGTGGAAGTCTACACTTATCACACAGTTATCTGTCTTGTTTTGAGATTTCTCTGTAGGATTGACACGTGTTGTGGAAGTCTACACTTATCACACAGTTATCTGTCTTGTTTTGAGATTTCTCTGTAGGATTGACACGTGTTGTGGTAGTCTACACTTATCACACAGTTATCTGTCTTGTTTTGAGATTTCTCTGTAGGATTGACATGTGTTGTGGAATTCTACACTTATCACACAGTTATCTGTCTTGTTTTGAGATTTCTCTGTAGGATTGACATGTGTTGTGGTAGTCTACACTTATCACACAGTTATCTGTCTTGTTTTGAGATTTCTCTGTAGGATTGACATGTGTTGTGGTAGTCTACACTTATACAATTACCTGTCTTGTTTTAAGATTTCTCTGTAGGATTGACATGCCTACACTTATCATACAGTTATCTGTCTTGATTTAAGATTTCTCTGTAGGATTGACATGTGTTGTGGTAGTCTACACTTATCACACAGTTATCTGTCTTGTTTTGAGATTTCTCTGTAGGATTGACATGTGTTGTGGTAGTCTACACTTATACAATTACCTGTCTTGTTTTAAGATTTCTCTGTAGGATTGACACGTGATGTGGAAGTCTACACTTATCACACAGTTATCTATCTTGTTTTGAGATTTCTCTGTATGATTGACATGTGTTGTGGTAGTCTACACTTATCACACAGTTATCTGTCTTGTTTGGAGATTTCTCTGTAGGATTGACATGTGTTGTGGTAGTCTACTCTTATCATACAGTTATCTGTCTTGTTTGGAGATTTCTCTGTAGGATTGACATGTGTTGTGGAAGTCTACACTTATCACACAGTTACCTGTCTTGTTTTAAGATTTCTCTGTAGGATTGACACGTGTTGTGGAAGTCTACACTTATCACACAGTTACCTGTCTTGTTTTGAGATTTCTCTGTAAGATTGACATGTGTTGTGGTAGTCTACACTTATCATACAGTTATCTGTCTTGTTTTGAGATTTCTCTGTAGGATTGACATGTGTTGTGGAAGTCTACACTTATCACACAGTTACCTGTCTTGTTTTAAGATTTCTCTGTAGGATTGACACGTGTTGTGGAATTCTACACTTATCACACAGTTACCTGTCTTGTTTTAAGATTTCTCTGTAGGATTGACACGTGTTGTGGTAGTCTACACTTATCACACAGTTACCTGTCTTGTTTTGAGATTTCTCTGTAGGATTGACATGTGTTGTGGAAGTCTACACTTATCACACAGTTATCTGTCTTGTTTTGAGATTTCTCTGTAAGATTGACATGTGTTGTGGAATTCTACACTTATCACACAGTTATCTGTCTTGTTTTGAGATTTCTCTGTAAGATTGACATGTGTTGTGGTAGTCTACACTTATCATACAGTTATCTGTCTTGTTTTGAGATTTCTCTGTAGGATTGACATGTGTTGTGGAAGTCTACACTTATCATACAGTTATCTGTCTTGTTTTGAGATTTCTCTGTAGGATTGACATGTGTTGTGGAAGTCTACACTTATCACACAGTTATCTGTCTTGTTTTGAGATTTCTCTGTAGGATTGACATGTGTTGTGGTAGTCTACACTTATCACACAGTTATCTGTCTTGTTTTGAGATTTCTCTGTAAGATTGACACGTGTTGTGGAAGTCTACACTTATACAATTACCTGTCTTGTTTTGAGATTTCTCTGTATGACTGACACGTGTTGTCGAAGCCTACACTTATCATACAAGCCACGACCATCATCACAGCTGCCACAAGAGAGTTCAACAGAATGAACGGCATCACCCACATCTGCGATCTGAGAAAAATAATGCCTTATCAGTCAGTGATGACTATGAAATATAAAGCTCAAGTTACAAGTGACTACATTTTGTTCTTTAAAAGTATTATCTTTACTCTGTTGGATTTCTTTGAGCAGACTTAATGAATAAATACTGTTGTAATAAATGTTTATCACAGATAAACCTTTGTTATCACTTGGAAGAAATTATATTAATTTGTAACTAAATATGTTGTATTTGACTTGTTTTATAAACCACTCACCCAACAGTGGGGTCTCGTGTTGACTTGTATACAGCATACACATTGTAACATGTCTGTGCTAAGCCATAAAATATGCACGCAAACACGGCAAAGTAGATGGGGAAGTTACAATTCCCCGAGTTGCTGTAAGACACACATTCCTCCTTCTCATATGTGGCATACAGGAAACAATATCCACCATTGTTCATCTAAAAAAAGAAGCATTTATCATGATAAATACAGAATAATATGCAAGTAAATGATTTCTGTATTTTATTAGCATGGCTACTTTGATCAAGAGACAAGGATGCACAAAATTTTACAATATCTCCTTATATTACAGCAACTTCCCTAAAAACCAACTACTGGCCAAATTGACAGCCTCAATTGATAAAAATGCTGGTTTGAAATTTTAAAAAAATCAAAATTTAATTGTTGTAAGATCCACAGAATGAGATTTGTCATGAACCTCAACCCAAAGCCACAAATGATCTCTAACACTTTACTCTGATATTAGTCAAATCACATTGAAAAGATTTAGGAATAAATAAACTTTATCCCATTGCCTTAGAAAAATGTTTGTAAAATTCAGTAAAAATTTCCTGATCATAAAATCATTGCCTGATTTTGTGAGACTAATTTATGCAGCTTTTTAAGATCAGCTGTGATTTTGTCTCATACCAGACATCCTTTTACCTCAGTGATATAGCCCCCATGTGTGAGCATAAACCCCCTACAGCTGGAACAGCAAAGAGACCTAAAGTAATATTGTAAATTTCAAGACAATAGCTATTACACCTGCATACGTGTCAAGAGACCTTCAATTTAAGAGACACACCAGTGTTTGAAACTCACTGTGAAATTAGCATGCAGAACTGACTGCTAGTGAAATTGTCAGCCCTGCCCAAGATCTTCTAGTCCTGAGAAAATAATCGCCTTTTAAAAATGAATTTTATAACTTGGATCCCATTAATTGACATGTAGACTGCTGAGTTCTGCACCTTGGCTTAACTACCCTATCAGCATTATTTGTTCACATGTGACAGATATCAACCTTGAGTCAATAAGTCAATTTTAATCAGTGGAAATTTTAACATCCAGCCAGGCATTGATACAAGCAAATTTGTTAACTCAGTGCAAAATTAATGCATCTCAGTGGTCAGATGCATAGTTATTTCAAACACTGGTCACATCCGCAAATTCACATTGTTCCCCTTGGGGGGAGGGGGGGGGGGAGGTATGTTAGCTGAAACCCTCTTTAACTTTATGCAGAAGTTTAATCTTTCCTTAACCATTTGAATACCTTATCAGGGCATGTATTAATGGGAGGCAAAATAAAACACTAAATATGTATTACATGTGTAAACACTAAATATGTATTACATGTGTACATGTACATTTATATGATAAATAAAGCCTTCTAGAAAAATAGTTTAAAACTGCAAATCTGGATTATGAGTACACATTAAATACATGCAGCATTAAAAGCTTACATAAATAATGCATATTAATTTTTGTATCCTTTCCAAATGATGATAATTATAAAATGATTACTTACCTTTAAACATTTAATCATTACATGATAAAACTTATCGAGAAATAAAGAAATATTATCAGTTTAGTTAAGTTCAGGAAATCCCTATGTATAAGGAGCACCCGAGAAGGTGGTATCATAAAAAAGACGATATAAAATTAAAATTCAAACATGTTAAAAGAGTAAAGTGATGAAAAACAGTTAGTAGAACCTAATCTTGTATCATAAATTTATAATGAAAAAGAGGTTGAAAAATGATGTCACATGCTATGACCCAACAATTGACACCTTAGCCATGTTAGCAGTAGTTGGCAGGTATGCACCCGTAAAATATTAATTATCAACTAAGGGAGACTTCTAACATTAAGTTTCATTTATTAGCAAGTAGGATTTGATATGTCACATTTTATAGTTCAAAACAAAGTGTCCTTGTGGACATAAAAAAGAGTTGTCAAGCATTTGACCAATCCCCCCCCCCCCCCGATTTAATTGCTGTCCACAGGGGCATCTTATCCACTCTGTTCTCTATTACACATATAATTTATTAAAGAACAGAGTCCCATGTGTTGTCTAGAGCTCAGGCATTCTTTTTTCTGTTGTTAACAGGTCTGGGCGGCCTCCGTTTTTGGAGGATAGCTAAATTCAATATGGCAGCCAAAATTTTTACCATATATGGAAACCCCGTTGCATTGTGGGATAGTTTATCCTCCGATTTCAGAGGATAACACAGGTAATTTTCAAACACCTCGTGCCTACCTTTAATCAAAAAGTGCAAGCACCAGAGTACATACAAATAAAAGTTCAAACATTGAACTACCGATTGTATGTGGCGATTTGAGATTCTATGTCTAGATATTTTGCAATTTATTTTCAAAGTTAGCACTTTTTGTGCTCCATTATTACTGAATATTTCTTGTTATTTTGTTTTATTTTTTATGATTTTTCTCTATTTATACAAATAAAAGAGGACTTTAATATTTCTTTTATATTTTCTTTTAATTCAGAAAAAGGAAACACAAAATGAAACGCATTTTAAGTGTATTTAAAACGCAAAATATACTCTGCCTTATAATTTAAGTAAATAAAAGTATAAATGGATTGAATGAATAATTATAAAAATAAATGAATAATTTGAATAGCATAAGTAAATAAAATAAATAATTTGACATGTTTACTAAGAAATTAACATATATTCATACAGCCATGTTTATACATAAACAAATAAAATATTAAAAGTGATGTGCTAAAGAATTATCAAATGAAAGAAATAATACATGATTAAACTTAATTTTTCAAAAAAAATTGTTCATCAAAATTTCTAAACTGCTTATCACATAATTACGGTACTGGAAAATCAGCGAGGTTATAATTAACCCCCAGTTGCAGGCAGGTAAAAGCAATATTTTTTTTCCAAGCTGTATACCGAATAACTGATTGACGGCAATTACAAAAATATAGATATATTGATTTAATATCTGGATTTATCCATCATCATAGGAAATTGTACCTTTTATTTGTTCTGATTTCGAAATCAGCGTACGGTTCATAAATGCAAGAGTTGCTGTTATTTGTTTGGTTAAGAGTTATCTGCCCTTAGTTTTGAAAATTCCGGTAGGTGGCAAGACCGCTATCCTCTGTTTTCAGAGGATAAAATCTATCCTCCAAAAACAGAGGCCGCCTAGACCTGGTTAAGTTATCAAACATTTGGTCTCCCTATCCCTGCTTGACACTACATGTATTTTGTTTGACAGGGTGTTTTGACGTTTTGCTTTCAGCCCTAATGACATTTGTGGTCATTGTACAGGGGAGCACAAAAGTTATCACTTTTAAAAAAAAAATCAAAACACCACACTGCTCAAAATAACCATTACCAGGGGATAAAACAAGTAGGGACCAAATTTAAGTGTCACTTCCTTCAACAAAATTTACACATTCAGTTATTCAACTGTACAACTACTGGAATATTCCCCCCAAGCATGTCAACTTACTTCCGTGCCTTGCCTATATTTTATTTTGCTTATATATTTACTGATTATAAAAAATTAAGATAATTATGACTCTTACATTAACAACACCGATTGGTATTGACACTGCAAAGCCACCAACAAAAACAGCAACGTAAAACACTGTGTTAACGACAAGCTGTACGTCTGCTACCGCCATCTTGAATTCTGTGTGTTTTGGTTCAGTCGTTCGTTGAACTAATTCGTTTGTAGAACTCCATCATAAAATGTACCATGGAAAGAACACTCTCATGCATTATATTACAGAACAAAGTATAAACTTTCCTTTTTCACACTTTTAAAGATTCTCATGACTTATAAGGAAGTTCCGTATTAATTGTAAATCAAAGAGCAGAGTACTGAATACGGTGGCTCATAAGGGTAATAATTTTCTTGAAATTTCTATGATATAAATCTCTTGAATACCGAGTACTAGTAACTTTAAAATTTTTCAAAAGGTTATTAGGGTTAAACTTTAGAAAAAAACTGTGTTTCTTGATACAACTTGCTCTGCTCATTATTAGAATTAATGTCTTTATTTTGATAACATGCATGGCAAAAATTAATGTTGAATTCATTTTCGGTAAGATACATGTAACACACAGAGCGATGGATTCTTCTTAAATATTTATTGTATTTAGAAATTAATGAATTTTTCACAGGTTCAAGAACAATATAACTAAGTGATGGTTTCAGTTAGATTATATTTGACAGTCTTAATTATTTTAGGAAGTCAGGTCAAGGTCATTATCTTTAATATTTTTCTTGACATAAAGAATTAAAAAAAATATTGTTTGCTAAATATGTGTTGCCTATGTCTATTTCAAAGGCTTTTTGCATAAAAGATCATATACCGCAAACGCTTTACCAAACAAAGATAAATATAATGTTATTGGCTAACCCGAATACCCTCTATTTTTCGTTTCGTAACATTTTAGGGGATAACATTTATTTATATATGCTTTGTTATTTAGATTTTTCTTCTATTCACACTAGTAAAGAAGTTATATTAAGAATAAAGTTATACAATAACAAAAATTTTGAACGATTAATTAGAAAGAAAAACACTTTTTACTGATTTTTTGCTCAAATCTGTTCCGAAGTTCATAATATAAAGATGCTTGAGTTTCTGATTGACAATATCTATATAGTGTAGTTTTTGGAGATCTAACTATCTTTCGAAATCATTCCACCCCGTTATTAGCAGATCTATTTTTGTATTCATATGAAGCAGAAGTTATTCAAAAACATGAAAAGAATAAGTCTCTTGCTGTGGCCTTCATTTCAACATTTAGATATATCGAAGACATTTCATCAATTAACAATATTCATTTTCATTCATATGTTGATTCGACACATCCCTTTGAACTAGAAATAAAAGATACAGCAGAGTCTGACACATCTGTTTCATATTTGCATATATTTTACTAGAAAAAGACATTACAAAATATGATATCCTAACATCAACGCTTTATGATAAACTTGATGATTTTAACATTTCTATCGTCAACTTTCCTTATTTATGTAGCAATATACCCTTATCACCTGCATATGGAGTTTATGTCTCCCAGTTGATTCGATACGCAAGAACATATTCTACATATGAACAGTTTATAAAACGAGGCTAGCTATTGACAAGCAAGTTAATGAAACAAAAATATCAACAGTCTCGTTGAAAGAAATGTTGCCTGTTGATGGAATATTACTACATAAAAAAAATGAAAGTTGACGATGGAAAAGCTGCAGTCATCTCGTTTGTTAAACAATTTAGTTGTTTGTCGGTTCTTTATCGACTAATAATCAATAAAACATCCAAATATGAAACATTATCTATATTTAGTTTAGCATTTATTACCTGTCCGTTAAAATCAGGCTTCACATACAAAAGATGTTGTAAGTATTTCGTTTTTAAGATATTTTCTAATCTCTCACCAAAAATTAAAAAAAAAAAAAAAAAGAAGTTGTGTCCTTGGCAAAATATGCGAAGATTGCAAATTGTAGCCACCTATAACAAAAGCTGAGAAGTTTCCATTCCCTTTATATGTGTAAATGCAAAAATATAACATGGGAAAAAATTACAGAAAAAACAAATTTACAAATATAGAATTTTAAGATAATATTAGCAAATGAATGCATTGAAAATTCATTCAAATCAGGAATCGTGTAAAATGTTAGACGTCTCTTCAGCTGTATATACACAATAACTATCTCACTGTATGACATTGATAAATGATGATGAAAGTGATTGTACAAATGTAGTTTTTGATGACGTTGTTGTATTATGACGTAGTTTCTTCACTATGCCGTCGGTTCTATGCTGGCTATATTTGTCATATCTGATGGCGCACTTGTCTGTGTTCTCAGACGTCTATTGAGAGCAAACCGTACGATTCCAGAAATAACCAACGCTAACCAGCCAAGGGTACATATCCACGATGCAGTCTGAAAAATGAGAAAAATTGCTAATGTATGCATTTTAACTACTTCCACTCAGGACATCATGATAAAAAATGAAGTGAAAGGCTGTTTAATTCCATCGCAAATGGAAGTAGACATTTACCATAATATAGTTTTTTTTATCCAATCTGATTAAAATCAGATCTTTGTTACGCTCCGAAATTCTGTCGTACAATGGTCGCTGTACAGCGACCATCAGAATTTCGGAGCGTAACAAGATCTGATTTTAATCACATTGACTGTTAGAAAAGCCCAAAAATTGTTAATGGAGTATTAAAACCATAAAAACATTATCATAAGACTTTTAAAAATTAAATACATTTCACGAACTTTTTTTGTACTGAAATGACCAAATATAAATAAATAAATAAATTTTGTTTTCAAATTGTTTTAGAAAATGTAGATGAATGTTGTACAGAAGTTAACTAAGTTAAGTTTATGAATTAGTGTAGAATTTCACATAAAGTAACAAATTTATTAAAATGTATACTTAAAGGCGTGGACATTTCGCTTACATGAATTATAAAGGTGTAGAATTAACCTGCGTAGCATATTTATAAAGCCTTTAAGCTCTCCTGAGTAACATTTTATATATGTGTAGAACTTTTCTGATTGTTTCCTGGATCTTGCATGAGTAACAGCTACATGTTTTTAAAAGTAAATATGAAACGTGAAGATGACGAACAGTAATCAAGCTCAAAAGTCCATTGAAACAATACAAATTGGGGAAGAGCACACGGACCTCTAAAACATCAGAGGTGGGATCAGGTGCCATGGAGGATTAAGCATCCCCTGTCAACTGGTCACACAAGCCATGTGCTCCTTGTCATGATCGGGCAAACGAAAAAAAAAACAGTAGACAATTCAGTGTCTAAATAATGTCCTAACAATTTGTATGGAAAAATTCAGTCAACATTCAGCTTACGAAAGATTTTATCTTTTTGCAAGATGTAGAGCTTACCTTAAGAACATTAATAAAGGTGTAGAAATGTCCGTAGAACTTAATTGATTCTTGATTTACATTTGTGAATTTAAAGTATAGAGGTTTCCTTCAAACTAACCTAGCTGAGTAACACTTATAAAGGTGCAGAACTAACCTGAGTAAAATTTATAAAGGTGTAGAGCTTACCTGAATACCATTTATTAAGCTGTAGAATTCACCTGAGGTTCAATTATAATGGTGTAGAACTTACAGAGTGACATATATAAATGTGCAGAACTTACTTGAATAACATGAAAGGTGTAGAACGTACCTGAGAAATATTTATGCAGGATCAGAGCTTACCTGAATAATATTTATATAGGTGTAAAGTTTCATACTAATTGTTAAGTCATTTTTTAAACACTGAATTGCATACGGATATTTCCGTTTGTACGATCATGACAATGAACGCACGGTGGGTGTGACCGGTCGACAGGGGATGCTTACTCCTTCGTGGTACCTGATTCCACCTCTGATGCTTTTAGATGTCCGTGTTTGCTCTGCTCCCGATTTGTATTGCTTCAATGGACTTTGAGCTTGATTACTATTTGTTATCTCCATATTTCATCTGGGAAACATTTATGAAGGTTCAGAGCTTACCTGAGTTACATTTATAAAAGTGTAGAAATGTCCCGTAGAGCTGATCTTTTTTGTTGTCTGGTCCACAAGTTTCTGGTTTTCTGCCTTTACACAGCTTTAAGCAAATAGAGATACAGCAAGTATTGTTTTAAAACAAATATAATCTGATTATTTTCTTTTAATCCTACAAATTACATGTATGTACATTTCTTCCACATATACTGTGGATTACTGATGGTATATATCGAACGCCTTCACACGCATATACAAAAGAAAATAATAAATTAAAATCTTACTAAGTAGAGTACTTTAACAGGTTACTGTATAAAATGGTACATCGTAGCCTTTGAAATAACTTATAGTTGTAAAAATTAACAGATCGTACCTTTCATTAACAGGGGTGGGTGTTTGTATTATTTTTCCGAGATCTTTTTTTTTTTTTTTTTTTTTTTGCTATTTTTATACTTTTGTTAAAGTATTATCAAAATTAATTTGAACAAATAGTTATAGACTAGTTTATTACATTTTCAACAGTGAAATACTGTAATTTATTTATTGAATAAAAGTGATATTCTGTCACAGTATGAAAGGATACGAAATTGATATTCTGTCACAATGTGAAAGAATATCAGAAATGCTGCAAAACTCTTTATTTTCCTTTTCCCGGCCCACAAAGAATGCTGTATAAAATACTCCGTGACCTGTTATAAGTTAGACCATCCTGACAGAAACTTAAACTGTCAAAGTTTCTCCAAATAATGTTTACAATGTTAGCTATATATATGACGTCTCAACCGCTCAACTATGATGCCACAGCCTTTGACACTGTGTGACGAAGAGACAAAGGCAAAGGGAAAAATATTTTTAAAAAATGTCATATACAGAAAATTCAATATTTTGTAGTTAATATGGAAACAGAAAATTAAATATTTTGTAGTTGGATATGGAATTTATTTCACTCGTGAGACTGGATTTTTAAAAATATTTTCACTCGTGCTTCGCAGTCGTGAAAATATTAAAAAAAATCCTGTTCTACTCGTGAAATAAATTCCATATCCAAGTACAAAACATTGAATATCCTCTATTTCATTTTTTAATTATTGTATTTTAATAACTGAGTGATTATTTCTTGCATTGTTTACACCATACCTTAAAAAATAACTGTCATATGATAAGATCGTGTTTTAATCATTGAATCGTTGAATGATTTATTTATTATCTAAAAGTAATAAATTGTCTCTCCTTTACAATTATAGCAATCGTTATATCCGAAATAATAGGGGGATTGTTGGATCCACAAATCTAGCTTTTACCCAACTGGATTCTCGTGCGTCTTCTTAAAAAAATTAAGAATAAATATGTTTTAAAACCTTTTTAATCAACAAAATCATAATAATTAACATATATTTGACAAAAACCCTTAGCAAAAGGAAAACAACTCTTTAAATATTTATGTTAGATTATTTATTTAAAAAAAAAATCGAAAGTTTTATTTTAATTTATATAACCATAAGTGAATTTTCACCGTTTATTCATTAAATTTATTGAATTATATATAACAGGTGTAACAGTGAACCTGTGGATATATTTTTCTCTGTGAACAGCACAACAGATTGTATAGATTTAACTATTACCTTGTGCTTACCTGGGATAATACTTATATTTGCCATTCGTCAGAGAGTCACAGATATCTTTAAATCCAACGCTAACCATACAGGAGGCGACAAACATAACAGCAGTCACCAAAGAGTTTATCATAATGAACGGCATTACCCACATCTGGGACCTAAAAACAGAATACAGGGTCTTAATACAGCATGATGACGGCATCACCCACATCTGGGACCTAAAAACAGAATACAGGGTCATAATACAGCATAATGAACGACATCATCCACATCTGGGACCTGAGGTCAAAAAGTCTTAAGATGCCATGATAAACTGCAAATCCCATATTTGAGACATAAAAACAAAAGAAAAACTTAATACAGCACGATGAATGGCATTAATTACCCACACCTGTGACTTGAAAACAGAAGAGAGGTTTACAGCATGATAAACGGAAATTACCAGATCTCGGACATGAAAGTCTTCATACAGCATCGTAAACCACATAACCCACACCTGGGATCTAAATGAAATATGGAGATAACGAATAGTAATCATGTTCAAAAGTCCATTAAAACAATACAAATCTACATAAGAATGAAAAAAATATTGTTACCATTATACGTCGTCAGTATATCTAAATGTCAAGTTGAAGGCCACAGCAAGTGTTGTCTTCTTCTTATGTATAAGTCTTTGAACAAATTCTGCTTCACATGAATACAAAATAGGTCTACTAATAAAGGGGTGCAATTGGTACCGCATCTTTTTAATATCAACTTCAGAATGTTAATTTTTTAACAAAATAATTTGTCAAATGATACTGATCAATCTTGTAAATCCTGTAAATGATACTAAACAAATACACAGACTCCTGTTAATCCTTTAAATAATACTAAATATCAACAGGACAAATACGCAGACTCCTGGAAATCCTGTAAATAATACTAAATATCAACAGGGCAAATACACAGACTCCTGTTAATCCTGTAAATAATACTTAATATCAACAGGACAAATACACAGACTCCTGTAAATAATACTAAATATCAACAGGGCAAATACACAGACTCCTTGAAATCCTGTAAATAATACTAAATATCAACAGGGCAAATACACAGACTCCTGTAAATAATACTAAATATCAACAGGGCAAATACGCAGACTCCTGTAAATAATACTAAATATCAACAGGACAAATACACAGACTCTTGTTAATCCTGTAAATAATACTAAATATCAACAGGGCAAATACGCAGACTCCTGTAAGTCCTGCAAATAATACTAAATATCAACAGGGCAAATACACAGACTCCTGTAAATAATACTAAATATCAACAGGGCAAATACGCAGACTCCTGTAAATAATACTAAATATCAACAGGACAAATACACAGACTCTTGTTAATCCTGTAAATAATACTAAATATCAACAGGGCAAATACACAGACTCCTGTAAATAATACTAAATATCAACAGGGCAAATACACAGACTCCTGTAAATAATACTAAATATCAACAGGGCAAATACGCAGACTCCTGTTAATCCTGTAAATAATACTAAATATCAACAGGGCAAATACACAGACTCCTGTAAATAATACTAAATATCAACAGGGCAAATACGCAGACTCCTGTAAATAATACTAAATATCAACAGGACAAATACACAGACTCTTGTTAATCCTGTAAATAATACTAAATATCAACAGGGCAAATACGCAGACTCCTGTAAGTCCTGCAAATAATACTAAATATCAACAGGGCAAATACACAGACTCCTGTAAATAATACTAAATATCAACAGGGCAAATACGCAGACTCCTGTAAATAATACTAAATATCAACAGGACAAATACACAGACTCTTGTTAATCCTGTAAATAATACTAAATATCAACAGGGCAAATACGAAGACTCCTATAAGTCCTGCAAATAATACTAAATATCAACAGGGCAAATACACAGACTCCTGTAAATAATACTAAATATCAACAGGGCAAATACGCAGACTCCTGTAAATAATACTAAATATCAACAGGACAAATACACAGACTCTTGTTAATCCTGTAAATAATACTAAATATCAACAGGGCAAATACACAGACTCCTGTAAATAATACTAAATATCAACAGGGCAAATACACAGACTCCTGTAAATAATACTAAATATCAACAGGGCAAATACGCAGACTCCTGTAAGTCCTGCAAATAATACTAAATATCAACAGGGCAAATACACAGACTCCTGTAAATAATACTAAATATCAACAGGGCAAATACACAGACTCCTGTAAATAATACTAAATATCAACAGGGCAAATACACAGACTCTTGTTAATCCTGTAAATAATACTAAATATCAACAGGGCAAATACGCAGACTCCTGTAAGTCCTGCAAATAATACTAAATATCAACAGGGCAAATACACAGACTCCTGTACATCCTGTAAATAATACTAAATATCAACAGGACAAATACACAGACTCTTGTTAATCCTGTAAATAATACTAAATATCAACAGGGCAAATACGCAGACTCCTGTAAATAATACTAATTATCAACAGGGCAAATACACAGACTCCTGTAAGTCCTGCAAATAATACTAAATATCAACAGGGCAAATACACAGACTCCTGTAAATAATACTAAATATCAACAGGGCAAATACACAGACTCCTGTAAATAATACTAAATATCAACAGGGCAAATACACAGACTCCTGTAAATAATACTAAATATCAACAGGGCAAATACGCAGACTCCTGTAAATAATACTAAATATCAACAGGGCAAATACACAGACTCCTGTAAATAATACTAAATATCAACAGGGCAAATACACAGACTCCTGTAAATAATACTAAATATCAACAGGGCAAATACATAGACTCCTGTAAATTATACTAAATATCAACAGGGCAAATACATAGACTCCTGTAAATAATACTAAATATCAACAGGGCAAATACACAGACTCCTGGAAAGCCAGTTATTGGATCAGTAAGTATCCATTGCTGACAAGTTACACCAACCACTAGTCTTCTGTATAGATCAGGTAAATGAAGTAATCAGGAGTACAAATTAGTACATTTTGGAAACACTACTACATATGTATTTCAAAAAAGGAATAACAATTGTTATAAAACATGTCAGTCAAAAAACAAGCGATCCAATATAGGTTGTAATTGCAAATTAGGTCGTTTTAACAGTAGAATATGCGAAAGGCAGAGTTTAAACTGATTAAAAATGCAACATCAACTTCTTTCTCATTAGCCTGCCTCGAATTTAAATTGATTGTACTCAAAACATGCTTTGGTATTCCGATTCATTTGGAGACTTAAACACCATGCATATGTAGGACTTAGTCGAATATTACATCACAAATAGGGAAAATTTAAGTCATCTCGTTTGTCATAATTTACTATGAACATCTATAGCTGAAAAAAAAACCCATCCAAATATGAATCACAAGTGGCAGACTTTATCCTCTCTTTCCAGATGATGTACGAATACCTTGCAACCCTGTTTATTTCTGCATTAAATATTTAAATCTTTGCACATCTTTATATAAAGGGAAAGAAAGCTGATAAAATTTGATGCATTGAAACTTCTTTTCAGTTGACACGAGAAAAAGACAGGACTCACGCTATGGAGGGGTCCTTCTGGGATTTATAAATAGCGTAGGTGTTGTAAATCCCCATCCCTAGGGCGTAAAAGATACAGACAAACACACCAATATAGATCGGGAAGTCACAGTTTGATTTCTTGCTATATAACAGTGTATAGTATGTGGAGTTGTAAGGATTGAGGGTGGCGTACAGCAAACAACCTCCAGAATTCTCAATCTGTAAAAAAAAAAAATAAAGTAACATAAATGTCAAAGGGTTTGATGAAGGTACGTACTACTAAGAAAAAAAATAAATGATGACATTTTTTGCACTAATTTTAAAAAGTATATATTCTTTGCATTGGTGTTTTTATTAAGAGGTTCTCTTGATTGTTTGTATGTTCTTGTCTTTGTTCTGCGGTTCTCTTGCTTGACTGTTTGTTTTTATTTCTATAATGGGTGTTTCATAGATAGATGCAGGTTTTCCTTAGTTTTATATATATTGAAAAACGGGAAAATGGCATACAGAAGATAAGTTTGTCGTGGAAATTCAATATGAAAATGTTTGAACGGAAGGGAAATAAATACCAAAATAAGCAACCAAAAAAAGTGTATAATCATCAAGATCTGAAGTTCGTGCGAACTTAACTGAAAGAAATTCCGGAACAGGAAGGAAAGATGAAAAAATCAAGACAAGAAAAGTTGTTTTCGCTTGTTAATGCATCTTTGCTAGCCTAGGATTTCGGATACGCTACTCTCTGACTTATGGTGGTATTGTGCAATCGTTTAAGTCTTTTAACATACGCACAGCTTGTGTCTTCGACAGAATTAAAGAGCGTTTTTAAATATCAAAGTAATTGAAGAATGAAAAAGCTGGTATCGAGTGATTTTTTTTTTTTTTTTTTTTGGTTTCAGGGTGCAAATCTATATCTGCAATATAGATTCCTGTTTATGTGTTAGATTATGTGCACATCAGCTCAAAGCTGGATGACACCATAGCTATTTATAAAATGACATGTTATGTTTACCTGTCTTTTTTCATTCCCAGACTACAGTATCCCGAATGGAGATACATGTATCGTCATTTACAAAAACACTTGCTGATTAGTCGAACAATATCAATTAACTCCAATCCCAACTCGAGAAAAAAAATCACGACTCAATCACAACTCGAAAAAGAAAAATCACGACTTTTGATAGCACTATAGGCCAGTTAGGGGGACCAAAGGCATGCAGTTAGTGTACTGTATACAGTTTCATTTTCGCCCCATGTTATTTTTGCCCTTTCAAACTGGCAAACAATTTTACCCCTTTATAAATTTGCCCAGTCACAATTCTGTTTTAGAAAATATACTGTGTTCTTTGAATTCGCCCCTTTTTAAATTCGCCCACCTGTCAGTAGGGCAAAAGGGGTGAAAATAAAACGGGGGCGAAAATTTCCCTGTATACAGTATGTGAGGAGAGTACAGGATCAGGGCCCTTGGCTAGTATACTCTTCATAAATTTACTACGCTATAAAATGCGTTGTTTCTTATCATGATTGTAGTTACGCTAATGAAAAAAGGAGAAAAAGATGAATACAACAAAAAGTGCTCAATCACATCAGAAATTAATCCTGTATGAACAATACGAATAGTGAACCGGGTATAAAAACTTATTATCAATTTCTTTTACATATTTAGATTCTCTACTCGTTTATACATGTAGTTCCCAAAAATTTTAAAGGTAGATTATTCATGTAGAAAAAGTTTCGTGTTTCTTGCATTTCTTGCATCTTAAAATGTACACTCATTTATATTCTATATTATACATGTATTATACTACTATATGCATGTGTTATATGCATGTACGGAGCAAACTATTTATGGTATGAAATTCATTTAGGAACTCAATTGTCAGTTTAAATTCTGAATACTAAAACTTATAAGCCTAGCTTATTTATTTATTTATTTATTTATTTTTTTTATTTTATTTTTATTTTTTATTTTTTTTTTTTTGGTGAATATCATATTATTTTCATTAAGGTGATTGTTGCAGTTTTTTGAATGAACAAGTCTCTCAGTTTCAAATGTAAAACACATACATGTATATGCACAAGTTGCATTTTTATCAGTTGAACGTAAATTTAAAGTTTTTCTCTCTCAAAAAATGAATATACATGTATGCTTGCTTATTAAATTGTGTACTTACGCCTGTAACTCCCAGTGGTATTGATATTGCAAATCCACAAACAAAAATAAAGAAATAAAGAAGTGTGTTTACAAACAACTGAACGTCAAACACAGCCATCGCTCTGTTATCAGAAAACCCTCATGCATATTAGGGGGCGTATCCATGTGGAATATACAAGATTACGCAATATCGAGCCCGATGAAAATTGGAGCAATACTACTTGACACACATAAATTCGACACCAGAATTGATTACTCAAATGTTCATCACAAGAATTGTTATACACAGGTAAAGAATCTAATAATAAACTTAAAGCTAGGGTTCTACATAGCACAATATTTCAGATTTAAAATCTGAAGGCCAATCTTTGCTGAGATAACTTCGATGTTAATCGATTATAGGTGGTACATGTACGGCCAGGTGAACTTTTTATTTATAGCCACGGTTACAAACTTCAGGGATAACACTTAATGCATGTTTAAAATTTGACAAGTTTTTCTTTTCGAAACTTTTGCGTCATTTACCTTGTGTGTATTCCTTATTCCCCCACCCCCACCCCCCACCCCACCCCACCCCCGCCTGGAAAGTTAAATGTTTTGGAGGCCTGTTCTACTACAGTGAGCAGTAAATATTACTAGTACTTCAAAAGCTACTCTGATTGGTCAAACTTCAATTTTGCAATTCATAAAATATCCCGAACTTTTTCAAATAAGAAATAAAAAACCCCAGATGTTTGAATGCCAAGAATGTTCCTCTTTATATTTCAAAGTGACGGATCACTTTAATACAGATATTTAAATTTTAAAAATAAGTAATTAGTTTTAAAAAAGTATATATATAAATAAATATAATCATTATTTTATAGGCATCAGTTGTTTGATGTTGTCATCAATACACTTTTTTCCAGCTAGAAAGGTTATAAACAGTTCATTTGTTTTGATAGATGTATAGCTAAAATTTAACAATATGCATTAACTATAGACAATTTGAACGGCGAGATCTCCAACTTGAAATTTACCATGGTAACTGGTCGCCCTCGTGACGCGGTGATTATAGCGTTTGCTCTAGAGTCGCCAAACATGGCGTTGATACATGTACTTACTTCGCGGGATTCGAATCCCACTGCGGGACCGGCCGGTCGGATAAGACCGTAAAAACCTAGATCCCGTGTCACAGTAGATGATGATACGAAAAAGATTCCTCAATGCTCAAAGACCCTTAGTGCTGAGTATAGGCCTAAATATGAATAAAAAGTTCTCGAAAGGGGCGTTAAACATACCCACCCACGCCCACACCGACATGGTAACAAACAGAGACAATATAAACCTATATGTAATGGATATAAGCCGAATACTGTTCTATATGTAAAATTATCAGACTGTTTGATGCCCTGATAGTCTGATAATTTTACATAAGAATTGTATGAGGCATATATCTTACTTAAGGTGGTATGGGATACCAAACGAAACTTCTCCTACATATTTATGTACCCAAATTAGAAGGATTTGAAATACCCCCACCTTTCAGTATATGAAAGTGTAATTTTAATAATTTTTTTATTATTTTAATGAGAAATACAAAAACGATTTTTTTTCTTGCATAATTCTTTTTTCATAAGCTTAATATTATAGGCAGGTGTTTGCTAATATAAAGTGTTTATAAAAACAAAAATGACAAGAAATATGTCTTAGTATTTTTTTTTTAATTTTCAACAAAAATAAGCGTAAAAAACTGGGAAAACTTTATTTCGTGAAAACAGACGGATAACATTTCATGAAAGTCTACAATAAGATGTATCTTAATATGTTAGCAAAGTGAAATAAACAAATTGAAAATATATATATAAATGGAAAATATAAAATGCATTTAAAATTTTTTGAATTAAAAGATCCGAGCGGAAGAGTTATCCTTCTTTATTTTCCAAGGGTTGAAAAAACCTGGGTGCTATTTTAGAAATGATGAGCATTTTTTCCCAACCATAAAAAAATCGCACTTTGTAGTTTTCAACTTTGAGCGGTTTTGAAAACAATGCATGGACAATCGCTTTCCAGGACGTGTCTTGTTTAGAGCAATTGCATTCATCTGAACGTTTTGGGACTATATACAACAGCTAGCTGATTTGTGACCAAACAGTTACTTCTTGAATTAAATAACAAAAAAGTCCAGCTCTGGTTAACGTGATAATTGATTGGTGATAATTCAGCACAATGTGAAGTAATCGCACTTATCCATGCCTCACCGCACACAAGGTGCTGTACAGTTACTCAAACAATTGAAATACAGCTTTTGCTTAAAAGTGTTCAAAAGCAGCAATGTTGAAACTACCTTTTATAGGGGTTTGCTTTTTTAAATGTCCGTTGTACAATTATAAGTAAATTTATATACTTGCGATTTTTTTTGTCTGTTTTTACTTAAAATGCCGACTTGTGAGAACTTGCATTGAAATAGGCTTCAGAGTGTTCTTTTCAACGGTGTATCTACAAATTTTGACCCGGTAATAAGCACTCATGCAAATCAAAACAATACTTCAAACGGAAATACGTCATAACGTGGAGGTATCCCATACTACCTTAAAACATTGCTATTTAAATGTCCAAAAGTTACCTGGAGGAGTCCGATAATTACACAATAGGAGTTCAGGCATCAATAGTTTTCTACCTTAAACCATCTAATAGACAAAAGAAAAGAGAAAGTTTTTTTTCTTTAGACAGTAAAATCAGCGAGTGAACTCTTTTGTTTCATTCATTCAATGGCAGTCGTTTGGTTTAGCAGGAACTATGGACAGTGGTAAGGTGATGAAGGATTTTTTTTATGATTCGGAATATTTTTTTTTTATTAAGTGCGTTTGACATTGATACAGATACAGTGTTGGATGATATCTTCAAAATACATTTAAAGTAAATATCTTCAAAATGCATTTAAAGTAAAAATGATTTTTATCTAAAATTTTGATTGGATCTTGGGTTTTGTGCGGTCACTGGCGAACAAGCCTCGTTAAATGAAGAGATTCGCAGACTGGTTCTTTATCAGAAATGGATTTAAATTGGCTTATTCACAGTGCTGTATCGAAAATGCTTTGCAAAAAACCGAATGGAAAGTGTTACTTTTGAGGAAGGTTAAAACTCCAGTTTCTTCTTGGATTTGCTATTTTTAACAACTTAATTTCCTCGCGTTCGCTTTCACTGACTTTTTTCTTCCTAATTTTTTTTTGGGTTTCCGGACAGATTAAACCTTGATTTCACTCTAGTTGTTGTTTTTTAATTACTGTCCGATTTTGTTATCACTGACGTCCGATAATATATTATTGGACTGCTAATTATTATTATCAGACGGCTACAGGTAAATTTTTAGACTGCAAGAACAAAGGCATGACGTCATAGCAATGTTATATATATATATATATATATATATATATATATATATATATATATATATATATATTTATTTATATATATATATATATATATATATATATATATATATATATATATATATATATATATATATATATATATATATATATATATATATATATATATATATATATATATAGGTAGATAGATAGATAGATAGATAGATAGATATAACTTTTTTCACATTGAAGAATACGGCCACTGTATACAAAGATAAATACAGATTCAGAAAGAAAATAATGTACACACTCGTAGATATATTATAGGATTATTATAGGATTAACATTTAAGCATTAAAGGAACATTTCCTGGATGGATCTCCTTGTATAGTAATTAAAACTACAAAATTCGAAAAGGGCACTTCCTAAGGATGAGTCCTATATAATTATTGTACAAAACACAATACGAGAAGTGAACGAATAGTATGCTTTTTTACCATATAATCCATATATAATCCATATAATCTAAATAATCTATATAATCCATATAATCCATATAATCTATATAATCTATATAATCCATATAATCTATATAATCCAGCATGTAACTGAGAATGCTGAATTGTATTTACTCATTTTTTTAACAACTCTTGCTGAGCGTAAGAGGTCTTTCATTTCACTATTTTTCCATTTAAAAGAAATCACAGGATGAAACTTTGTCATCCATGCAGTTAACTGAAAGGTGACTGAAAGATTGCTGAAAGGTGACTGAATGAAAGAGCTCTGCCATTCAGTCACCTTTCCAGACCTTTCAGTGACCATTCAGTTGACTGAAAGGAGCAGTGTCATCCTGTGAATTAAGAAAAACAAATAAAAGAATTATTAAAATACCTGAGGAAGAAATAAAATATTTTGAATCATTGAGGAACAAGAATGATTCTACAGAAACTGTTTAAAAAAAGTTAACTGCTGCGTAAAAAAGCTAAGAAGAAATAAGAAAAAAATATATAAAAGGAATCTTTGTCAGAATAAAACTTGAGTGTATTGAACAGGGATAAAAACCAACAAAAGGTTTCCTTAGCCTAGAAAAAAGAAACTTTTAATAAAACTGTGAACAAACACACTGCAATGGTGATACTATTATTTCACATACTGGATTACATTATGGCCGCCGCGATCGGAGTATGTTTCAAAACAACTCTCTTACTCTTTCGATTTAAAATGTAGTTGCGAAGCGTTTTAGGTTGTGAAATGCGAACATAACAATTAACGAACAGTAAGCATGCTCAAAGGCCAATCAAACAATACAAACTGTGAGAGGAGCAAATACGGACCTCTGAAAACTGAGGTTGGATCAAGTGTCATGGAGAAGTGAGCATCAGCTCTAGACCGGTCACACCCGCCCTGAATTTGCTAGCTATAGATATATAATCAAAGTATTTAGGAATGATCTCGATTTAGCCGAATCCTGTTTTTGCGATAAATAGAATATGTAGCGGAGAGTTTTGGCGGGGTGCTGACTTTGGCTTATAGCGATTTTGTAGTAGCTCGCTAAAATTCTAATCTTCAAATTTGCACCCTTGCATATAAGTACTGAATACATGAAAAGACAAAACGCCAATTTTTACATCCATTTGTTGGTAAATTGTCTTTCTTTACCTCCATCCGGTAAAAGGTAAATGGATTTAAACATTCAATATGTCTGCGTGTTTTTCGAATCTATGGTGCATACTATTCAGGGTGTGAAACTTATTCCTTGGCACCTGCTCCCACCTCTAAATTTTGAGGTCCGTGTTTGCTCTTCTT